TCCCACTTCCCAGACATGCTACTTTTTTTACATTTCAGGTCCTCACCCCTTAGTGGGGTGGGGGGGATTCAGACTCACAGCCCAGCCATTCGCCCCCCCATTTGGAAATCTCACGGGCCAAAGTCAGGACAATGCTTGCCCTTCGGACAAAGGGGCCTTTGCTCTCCCCCCTCTTTTTCTAGCTCACCTCAATGAGCCAGGGAGCAAAGTGGGGCAGCCCCACACAATCGCTAGACCGAGTGAACTGAGGGTGGAAATTCATTCCCGTCTCCAAAATACAGGGATCAATATGGCTGCCGTGTCCCTAGTGCCACCTCATGCCTACCAAGTTTCCAGACGGACAGAAATTAAACAGATGAGGAGTCAATGAATAATATAGAGCACAACGAAGGATCAATAATCAGATTCCATTTAGATCGGGTGGGGGAGACCCAGTTCGTGCGGCTAGACTACAACACCCATCATCCCTGACCACTGGTCCTGCTTCCTAGGGATGATGGGAGTTGTAGTCCAACAACAGTGGAGATCCAAGTTTGAGAAACACTAGACTGGGAGTCATCGCAGAAAGGAAACTTGAGAAAGGTGGACAAGATGATAAATCAAGGGGTTGTCCTCCGGGTATATTTAAAGCTACCACTCTCACCAGTCCCAGCCAGGTTGGCCAATGTAAGGAATGATGGGGAGGCGGTGTTAAAAAAATTCCCCACACTCCACAAGATGTCCGAAGGCCACAGGCTGACGTGGCTTTGACAGGGGGATTGGGTGAAGTCGTGGCGGAGGAGGGAAGGCCCTTGGACAGGACCCTGCTTAGGTTCTTATGAGAGAGGCTTGAAGGTTTTGAGGATGGGGGCTATTCATCTGTTATTATGCTTGGAAGTCAAGAGCACAATTCCTAGCCCCCCAAACATCTCTGGGAACTAGCAGCAGAACCCAAAGGGCCTCCCTGCGGACCCTGCTTCAGCCTTCCCCCTTCCCTCCGTGTAAGGAGCAGGATTGGTGCCCTTACCAGCTGAGTCTTCTCCATGTTAGATCTCCGGGAGCAGGACCTCGTAGACGGCTCAGGGAACTGCTGTCACTCTGAGCCTCGGGATCCCTATTTTATCGCCGGCAAGATTCCATTCATTTATTCCATGCAAATTTTGGAATAATAAAAAAAGAACTGAGCGCCTGTTTCCTGAACGTATAATCAATGTCTCTTTTGTTTACCTTATGCTGGATGGGTAATAGAAGGTGCCCCCCAGGATCAAGGTACTCAGGCCCAGTGAGATATTAGCACCTGAGAAAATTGAATTTGCCTGCCTGCCTTCCTTCCTTTCTTCCTTCCAAGATGGGATCAGCTTTTAAATAGCAGGACTTTCTCACCTATTCATAACTTGCTTTGACTTTTTACAGATTAAATCTTCTGGTCCAGACATTTGACCCACAAGCACCCAAGAGTTTGTGCCATGAACTAGATAAGGATGGAGAAATTCTCGCTTGGAGCATCATCTCTAGGACGAACGCACCTTGCAATTTCTCTGAGAAGACCAGAGGAGCCCTCTTGGATCGGGACCAATTGCCCAGCGTCCGTCGTTGTGCTCAGGTCCTGTTTTCCTGCTTCCCTCTGGGGCATCTGATTGGCCAGTGGGAGAACAGGATGATGGAGCAGACAGGTCATAGGCCTCATCCAGATCGACTCGTCTTATTGAACTCTGAATCCAGAGTCTTTCTCCTGAGAGCAGACACTACTCAAGAAAGCCCAAGATGAGCCATGAGAGTGTGAGTTCTTCCCTGCCGGCTCCTCCCTGCTACCTGGTATTCAGAGAAGATAGACTGCCCCTGACCATGGAGGTTCTCTCTGGTGCTCCACAGCTTGCTGCAAGGCTCTCCCTCAAAGGGCTGTTGCACCAGCACTGAGCAATGGGTGCTGAGAACGTTTAATGCCCCCTCTCTTCTTGGAAGCACATGGAGTCATGGACTGGGGAATAGCTTCATGGGTCAAGAGCGAGCCAGCAGTAGATCACAGCCTGCATGTTCCAGTTCACTCTTCATTAGCAAAACTATGTTCTGCAGAGGGGTGTCAGGCCTCATGAGCGCAGCAACTCCTCCTCTCTGGCAGGTCTTTCTTCCATGAAGCAGTGCTGAGACTGAGGGCTCCTGCCTCCCCACAGCTGCCCCTCCTCTCCAGGGTTCCCCCCAAGCAATCAGAGACTGCGCCAGCGTGAAGCCAACCTCTCCTCCATCCTTTTCATGCCTCTACTGGCTCCTGGAAACCAGGTGGAGGGGAGTTTGTTGCAGGAGGCGGAGGAGACATCTAGGACTCTGTTCCAGTCTGGCCACTCTCTGCTTCTTGGCCTCCCTCCTCTCCTGCTTCAGCTTCTGCCACACTCTCCCCACTCGCTAAACCCTGTTGCCTCTTCCGTCCCTGACACCTTCCCCCGCCCCACAGTCTTCTCCCCCTGACCACCCATTTTCCTCTGACTGCTGATCCTCAGGCTCTGAGCCGTCTTCCCTTGGGGGTCCCCCAGCTGGTCCCTCCCACCATTCCTCTGGGCCCACCAGTCCATGACAATGGGGTTGGCCCCCCACCTGGGCCAGGAGGAAGGGGCCCAGCAACCTGGAAATGTGTCTCTAGCCTTGACCTTCGCCCAGGCCCTCTGGGTCCCTGGCATCTCAGTTCCCAGGGGTGGCAGCACGCCAGCCAGACCCCACGGCCTCCGGAAAGATCAAGATGCTGAGCTCAGGAGCCGAGCTGCCCCCCGTCCACCTGCTCGGTCCAGAGTCCACCCCCCTCCTGGTTCTGGCAGGGAGCCCAGGCCGTGTGGTCAAGGTGTGGTCCTGGCGGAGGGATGTCCCCTGAGGCAAGCAGTTTGATGCGTGGGCAGCCATGTTGATCTTTGGCCTGGGCTCTCCTGGTGGTTATGAAAATTCGGAAAGCTATTTTGTTTTTCTAGGATTCCCTCCTCCAAAGGTGCTTCTCAGAAGGCTGCTGGCCCTTCCCTGAAAGATAAGGCGGCTGTCCCTGAGTCACTCAGTCAAATGAGGAGCTGCGGCAGGGAGGGTTGACCCCCGTGAGACACCGTCGCTGCACATCACCCCGAAGCGGCTACTATCGGGGGGTACCATCTTTGTATACCACAGCTGAACCCCAGGACCTCCCTTTTCTGATCTCCAGGGCTTAGCGGCGACCCATTTTTCCTCTGCCCTGAGTGAGGCTTTTCCTCTGCTGCCTTTCTCCTTTGCTCAGTGCCACGACAGGCTGCAAAACACAGGGGAACCTTCCTCAGTCAGGACAGGGCTACATTGCTCGTTGCATATTAAAATGCTGTCATGTTGGAAACGTGTAGAAATATAATAACTTTCAGTGGCGTGCAGGAATCGTGAATGGCCTGGCAGCAGAAGGACAGAGAGTGTGCAGACATCCAGGCCTGCAGGGATGGCGTGCAATGTTGGAAACGCCCCCCCCAACACTTCTGGGGCCCGGAAGTGGGGGGCACACAGGAGGGATGCAGGAGAAGGGTTCAGCTATTCTGGAGGAGCAGGAACGGCGTGCAGGGACACAGCACAACATCCCTGCCACGCGAGGTGAAAGCGTCTTGCAAGGGAAGCAGATCTGCTGGGAGAAACACAGCAAGAGGGAACTGGGGGTGGGGGGTTTAAGCCCCAGGAAGCGGAGAGGGCTGCTAAAAGGCAAAGCTCGCTTTCTTGGGGTGGGGGGACTGCCAGCGAGAATGATTTTGCTTTTTGCTCTGCTAACGCTCCCCAGAAGTGAGTCCTCCAGCGTCACCACGTATATGGAAAGGGCTGAGTGGTGGAGTTTGGTCCTTGACAAAATAGGGTTGCCAACTTTTCTGTGCTCGCAGGCTCCTCTGCAACGTGATTTGCATAAGCAGAGCTGCTGATGGTGAAGGATGGGATGAGAAAATGCAGAATGCTGGAAGAGTCTTGAAGTTGAGTGGATAGCCAGCGTTCCTTGGTCTTCACAAAAGGAGTCTACAATAAGATGAGCTCACTGGTTCCTGCTGTCCTGCTTTTGGAACCCCTTGGAAACAGGCTGGGATGAGTATTTCCAAATGAGGGTACCGTGCACAGGAACATAACCTCCAACATTTCTCTGATGAAAATAGGGATGTCCGATTCCATAATGGAATAATAGTTCCAGCCACTCTGGGCGGCTTTGAACATACATAAAAAATAAAAACCTAATAAAACATTAAACATTAAAGAAACTCCCCTAGGCAGGGCTGCCTTCAGTTGTCTTCTAAAGGTTGTATGGTTACTGATTTCCTTGGCTCGCTGGTTGCTTAACTCCATACCCTGCAACATTTATCCAATGAAAATAGCGACGTCCGAAGGAAAAGCGGGATGTACTGGGATCCAACTGGAAACTGGGATGGCTTCTGTAAATCTTGGACTGACTCTGGAAAATAGGGACACTTGGATGATATGCAGGGGCACACACACACACACACACACACATGCATATGCAACAGTCTAAACACTGGTAAATGTCAACAATTACCACATTTCTGACATTATCCAGATTGTACACTCATAGATGCATTTGTGCGCATTATATATCCAGTCAAAGTCAACATCAGGTTATATAATATTTCTATTGCGGGTGTGAGGATAGGAGCAAGAATTTTTTTCAACCCTGTCGCTCCTCACCAACGCCACGTAATCCTTATCCGTCCATCTCTGGGGTTCAATCCGCAGTCAAATTAGGTCGTCGTCGGAAAGCTGCTGCTGAACAATTGGTCCTTCCTATTTTCTTCTGCCTCGCCAACGTGTTTCTGGAGAAAGGGTGGCGCGAGCTTTTCGGGGAAGAAACTTTTCCTCCCCTTTCCCCCCTGATGGAGGCTTCCCTCCTGTCTCCCAGGGACACGTCGCCCGATTGCTTTGTTTCGGAGAGAAATCCCAGCCAGCTTTCCACGGCTGCTGCCGATTTGCATCTCACTCTGTAGTTGAGCTGGGCAGGAAAATACCTGTGCGGTTGGTTGATAATACGCTGGGTAACCATGGCGAAGTAAGCAGAGTGGGGATCCCAGGAACCGGTGGGTGGGTGGCGGTCAGGGGTGGGCGTAGTGCTCCTCATTTTCACATTGATTTTTGGGAAAGGGGTTCCTTGTGGTTATGGAAATCCTGCACGCTGTTTCCTTTTTCCGGGATTCCCTCGGCCAAAGGAGCCTCCCAGAGTTAAGGTGGAATCACCTTTAAGCCCATTATTGGCGAGTGAGGACTGTGTCACGTACGCAGGAATGCGACCCGACCACAAGGCTGGTAAGAACTGACCAGCGTTAGTGGAAAACGACTCCGTTTAAGGTTCAAGGAGAGTCCAGACGCATACAGTAAAAAACAGGGTTTGTTTGTTTGTTTTTTTGATTACTTTTTTATTCAAAATTAAAACAAAACATATTATCCAAAAACATATCATCCTTATTTCCCCCCCATTTTTCCTCCCTCCCCCCACAGAATCCACCCACCCCCACCCCGACTTCCCTCAGTTCCAGTCTTTGATTTCTCTAAAAATGCTGTTTTCTGCATGTTACACAGTTGTATAGATCCTCAAACTATTTAGCTGATAATTATCAATAAAAAGTTTGTGAATGTTTATTCAAAACCAGCCAAGGAGTCCAGTTCGCTTTGTTGCATCTTCAGATACTTTGTAAAAGGTTCCCATTCATCCTTAAAGTCACAGTTATCCTTGTCCCGTAGCTTGTATGTCAGTCTTGCCAGTTCTGCATAGTCCATCAATTTTTCTTGCCATGATTCTTTAGTTGGGGTTTCTTCAGTCTTCCATCCTTGTGCTATCAAAACTCTCGCGGCCGTTGTCGCAAACATGAAGATGTAGTAAAAAACAGGTTGAGCAAGTTGTACCTCATGCGTTGTGGCCGGCGGAGAGATGGTGAGGTGCTGGGGTGTTTGGGTGTCAGAAGCAGGTCAAGGACAACACACATGGCATTAGTGAAATTAACTCTTTATTCAAAGAAATAAACAGCTCAGGAGGCCAGTCCTGGTGAGCTCAGCTTCTTCCCAGTAGATCTTGCCCCAATGACGCAGTTGCAAGGGCTGAAAGTCTCCGCCTTCCCTCCTCCTCTCCTGAGTCCTTCCCAAGCAATCTGAGACTCCTTCAAGGGGTCTGGCTCTGCTTCACTCTCTTCATGCCTCTCCTGGTTCTGGAGACCAGGAGGGAGGGGAGCCGGTCGCCCTGGTTCCTTCAGCATCTCTGCCTCTTGAGCCTTGCTCCTCTCCAGCCTCATCTCCTCTCTCTGGACTGCTTTCTGCCACGACTCTTCCTGCTCACGAAACCCTGTTACCTCTTCCTCCCACTCTGCTCCCTCTTCGCCTCCGGCCACTCCTTGTCATCCCAACATCGTCAACCCCCTGGCTCTGAGCCTTCTTCCCGTGGGGGTTCTGCAGCCGGTCCCTGCCACCGCTCCACGATTTTGGGTAGAAGCTGAACAGCTAAGGGCTCGTCTACACTTCTGCTTTCGCCCTTGCCCCGCTCCTTTCCCAGGGAAAATCCACTCTTTAGTGCTAAATCGGAGCAAACGTCAATTTGGACAAAACCCAAATTACCGTTTGCTCTGACTGAGTGCTGAAGAGCGCTTTTCCTTGGGGCAAAGCAGAGGGGCGTGAATGAGCCATAAGATGACATGTTTGCCTATAGTGTTTCCCCCACTGGAAATGTTCTCACAGACTCTTGGGCTCTGTCCTGCAATGCATCCCTGAGTAAATTCTGGCTGATTGTGAATCTGAGATGAGCCTCCGTACTTGAACCCCCAGAAGCAATCTTCCCCACCGAGATGTGGCACAAAAGAAATGAGGTGTCCCGTTTTTGGAGGGGGAGCACTTGGAAGGTATGTTCTCATTTTCTCTGGGTCTCAACAGCCTCTGGTTCAACCTACCAAACCTCACCACAGGAATCTGTTTCAAAGTCAAATATCCATCCTTATAATATTTACAGTTGAGACACAGGCAGGGTCTTCAAGAGCATGTGCCATGAAACACCCCACACACCCTCCCCACAGCACCGAGTTGTCACACGACCCACAAACAAGGGTTGGCAGCTCCAGGAAGGATTCCATACCTGTACCTACATTTCAAATATAACCGCCGATTTTGGAAAACAGCTCCAGGCTTGGCATTGCCAAGTGTGTGCTCCCACAGCCGAAGGTGCCACACATACCGAAGAAGAAGAAGAAGAGGAGGAGTTTGGATTTGATATCCCGCTTTATCACTACCCTAAGGAGTCTCAAAGCGGCTAACATTCTCCTTTCCCTTCCTCCCCCACAACAAACACTCTGTGGGGTGAGTGGGGCTGAGAGACTTCAGAGAAGTGTGACTGGCCCAAGGTCACCCAGCAGCTGCGTGTGGAGGAGCGGAGAAGCGAACCCGGTTCCCCAGATTACGAGTCCACCGCTCTTAACCACTACACCACACTGGCTCCCTAAAGGAATAGCCCGGCCTAGTGGCAAGGGAGCATGGCACCACATTCCACACACAAACCCGGTTCAAGGCCTTTGTGCCCCAGTCAACTGTGAGCAGGAAGAAATTCAACAGGTGAAGTGTTTGGCTGCCACTGCCTTGCTGAACACCATTTCTTACGATATTTCTGCAGGGCAGCTGTTCTGGGCATCCTGTCTGCGCCAAAAAGCAAATTACCTGTTGGATTTCTGCCTGCTGTTGAGCAGATCGAGTTGCAGAAGCCTGGCAAAGGGGGAAAGGTGGTACCCTGCTCTCTAACCCTCGAGGTATGGGCAGCATCTTTGGGAAACCTCAGTGCCACTGAGCCAGGGGCTGATTTGGGTTCTCCAGAATCAGTGGTTGTGCATGCAAAGTAAGGCAGAGTATCAGATCCTTCCTGGAAAAACCTACATTTGTGGGGGGGGGGGTTATGAGTGAAGGGGGTGGCACTCTGCACATGTCCATTGAGGCCTTACCTCGGGTATTGGTGCACACATTCCAGGGCGGAGATTTGAGAGATCCGAGGGGTGAGACTTGAGGCTGCTTAAACCTGAAGAAAATTAGAGATCACTGCTCCCCCAGCTTCATTCCCCGTGATCCAGCCATCCCTGATATCCCTCTTCTTGGGATCCCCACTCTGTTTACTTTGCTATGGTTACCCATCGTATTATCGCAGGCATTTTCCTGCCGGTCAAAACCTCAGAGATGCAAATCTCCCACAATAGCCATGGAAAGCCGGCTGGGATTTATCTCTGAAACAAAGCGAAGCAGGTGTTCCTGGGAGACAGGAGGGAAACCTCTGGCAAGTGGGTGTACCTGGGGGAAAGGTCTCCCCCTCACCTGATCCACCCTTTCTGCAGAAATGCCTTGGTGACACAAAAAATGGGTCGTGTGGTTGTTAACGTAAATATTTTCCTCCAGCTTCGACTAGGACATAATTTGAATGAGGGCTGGACAGACAGGAATTATGGGGTGGTGAGGAGGAGGAAGAGAGACAGGGGACTGGGTGGGGGGGGGCAGTATGTATTATTGTGACTTTGGGCAGGGGTAGGCTATGTGCCTGAACCCCCTTCTAATTCCAGGATCCTGCACAGGTTCAATTCCCGGAATAGCCAGGCTACCTTCCAGGTGAGGAAATGGCCTAAGTACAGAACCTCAAGGGAACAAAGGAAATGGCTCTGTGCATTAGCGGAGCAAGAAGCAACATCGTTGTCATTGGCAGACAACCCGCCCTCCCCCTGAAAGTCAGCTTTGCCTTTTAGCAGCCCTCTCCGCTTCCTGGGGCTTAACCCCCCCACCCCCAGTTCCCTCTTGCTGTGTTTCTCCCAGCAGATCTGCTTCCTTTGCAAGATGCTGTCGCCCTCGCGTGGCAGGGATGTTGTGCTGTGTCCCTGATGGCGTTCCTGGTCCTCCAGAATAGCTGAGCTCTTCCTCTGCATCCCTCCTGTGTGCCCCCCACTTGCTGGGCCCCAGAAGTGTTGGGGGATCATTTCCAAACATTGCACGCCATCCCTGCAGGCCTGGATGTCTGCACACTCTCTGTCCTTCTGCTGCCAGGCCATTCACGATTCCTGCACGCCACTGAAAGTTACTAATATTTCTATACGTTTCCAACATGACAGCATTTTAATATGCAACGAGCGATGTAGCCCTGTCCTGACTGAGGAAGGTTCCCCTGTGTTTTGCAGCCTCTCGTGGCTTTGAGCAAAGGAGAAAGGCAGCAGAGGAAAAGCCTCACTCAGGGCAGAGGAAAAACGGGTCGCCGCTGAGCCCTGGAGATCAGAAAAGGGAGGTCCTGGGGTTCAGCTGTGGTGTACAAAGAAGGTACCCCCCAAATGTAGCCGCTTTGGGGTGATGTGCAGTGACGGTGTCTCACGGGGGTCAACCCTCCCTGCCACAGCTCCTCATTTGACTGAGTGACTCAGGGACAGCCGCCTTATCTTTCAGGGAAGGGCCAGCAGCCTTCTGAGAAGCACCTTTGGAGGAGGGAATCCTAGAAAAACAAAATAGCTTTCCGAATTTTCATAACCACCAGGAGAGCCCAGGCCAAAGATCAACATGGCTGCCCACGCATCAAACTGCATGTCTCAGGGGACATCCCCCCACCAGGACCACACCTTGACCACACGGCCTGGGCTCCCTGCCAGAACCAGGAGGGGGGTGGACTCTGGACCGAGCAGGTGGACAGGGGGCAGCTCGGCTCCTGAGCTCAGCATCTCGATCTTTCCGGAGGCCGTGGGGTCTGGCTGGCGTGCTGCCACCCCTGGGAACTGAGATGCCAGGGACCCAGAGGACCTGGGCGAAGGTCAAGGCTAGAGACACATTTCCAGGTTGCTGGGCCCCCTCCTCTGGCCCAGGTGGGGGGCCAACCCCATTGTCATGGACTGGGTGGCCCCAGAGGAATGGTGGGAGGGACCAGCTGGGGGACCCCCAAGGGAAGAGGGCTCAGAGCCTGAGGATCAGCGGTCAGAGGAAGATGGGTGCTCAGAGGGAGAAGACTGGGGCGGGGGAAGGTGTCAGGGACGGAAGAGGCAACAGGGTTTAGCGAGTGGGGAGAGTCTGGCAGAAGCTGAAGCAGGAGAGGAGGGAGGCCAAGAAGCAGAGATGGGCCAGACTGGAACAGAGTCCTGGATGTCTCCTCCGCCTCCTGCAACACGCTCCCCTCCACCTGGTCTCCAGGAGCCAGTAGAGGCATGAAAAGGGTGGAGGAGAGGTTGGCTTCACGCTGGCGCAGTCTCTGATTGCTAGGGGCAAACCCTGGAGAGGAGGGGCAGCTGTGGGGAGGCAGGAGCCCTCAGTCTCAGCACTGCTTCATGGAAGAAAGACCTGCCAGAGAGGAGGAGTTGCTGCGCTCATGAGGCCTGACACCCCTCTGCAGAACATAGTTTTGCTAATGAAGAGTGAACTGGAACAAGCACATTGTGATCTACTGCTGGCTCGCTCTTGACCCATGAAGCTATTCCCCAGTCCATGACTCCATGCGCTTCCAAGAAGAGAGGGGGCATTAAACGTTCTCAGCACCCATTGCTCAGTGCTGGTGCAACAGCCCTTTGAGGGAGAGCCTTGCAGCAAGCTGTGGAGCAACAGAGAGAACCTCCATGGTCAGGGGCAGTCTATGTTCTCTAAATACCAGGTAGCAGAGTGGAGGTGGCAGGGAAGAACTCGCACTCTCATGGCTCATCTTGGGCTTTCTTGAGTAGTGTCTGCTCTGAGGAGAAAGACTCTGGATTCAGAGTTCAATAAGACGAGTCCGTCTGGATGAGGCCTATGACCTGTCTGCTCCATCATCCTGTTCTCCCACTGGCCAATCAGATGCCCCAGAGGGAAGCAGGCAAACAGGACCTGAGCACAACGGACGGACACTGGGCTTCAGGACACTGGTCCTGATCCAAGAGGGCTCCTCTGGTCTTCTTAGAGAAATTGCAAGGTGTGTTTGTTCTAGAGATGATGCTCCAAGTGAGAATTTCTCCATCCTTATCTAGTTCATGGCACAAACTCTTGGGTGCTTGTGGGTCAACTGTCTGGACCAGAAGATTTAATCTGTAAAAAGTCAAAGCAAGTTATGAATAGGTGAGAAAGTCCTGCTATTTAAAAGCTGATCCCATCTTGGAAGGAAGAAAGGAAGAAAGGAAGGCAGGCAGGCAAATTCAATTTTCTCAGGTGCTAATATCTCACTGGGCCTGAGTCCCTTGATCCTGGGGGGCACCTTCTATTACCCATCCAGCATAAGGTAAACAAAAGAGACATTGATTATACGTTCAGGAAATAGGCGCTCAGTTCTTTTTTTTATTATTCCAAAATTTGCATGGAATAAATGAATGGAATCTTGCAGGCGATAAAATAGGGATCCCGAGGCTCAGAGTGACAGCAGTTCCCTGAGGCGTCTACGAGTTCCTGCTCCCGGAGATCTAACATGGAGAAGACTCAGCTGGTAAGTGCACCAATCCTGCTCCTTACACGGAGGGAAGGGGGAAGGCTGAAGCAGGGTCCATAGGGAGGCCCTTTGGGTTCTGCTGATGTTCCAAGGGATGGGGGGGGGGGGCTATGAATTGTGCTGTTGACTGTAGTTGTAAATATAACCGGAGGGCAACCCCTTGATTTATCATCTTGCCCACCTTTCTCAAGTTTCCTTTCTGCGATGACTCCCAGTCTAGCGTTTCTCAAACGTGGGTCTCCAGTGTTGTTGGACTACAACTCCCATCATCCCTAGGAAGCAGGACCAGGGGTCAGGGATGATGGGTGTTGTAGTCTAGCCGCACAAACTGGGTCTCCCCCACCCGAATCTGATTCTGAATCTGATCTGAATCTAAATGGAATCAGATTATTGATCATTCATTGTGCTCTATATTATTCATTGACTCATCATCTGTTTAATTTCTGTCCATCTGGAAACTTGGTAGGCGTGAGGTGGGACTAGGGACACAGCAGCCATATTAATCCCTGTATTTTGGTTGAAATGACACAGTCCAGGAAAGACTGTACCACTTGATTCTGCCAATTTTGCAGGCAGGTTTTTGGAGAGATCCCTGCCTACGTTATTCTGGGAATAGAATACAGTGGTACCTTGGGTTACATACACTACAGGTTACAGACTCCGCTAACCCAGAAATAGTGCCTTGGGTTAAGAACTTTGCTTCAGGATGAGAACAGAAATCGTGCTCCAGCAGAGCGGCGACAGCAGGCGGCCCCATTAGCTAAAGTGGTGCTTCAGGTTAAGAACAGTTTCAGGTTAAGAACGGACCTCTGGAACGAATTAAGTTCTTAACCCGAGGTACCACTGTACTCCAACTTAGGATGGCTGCGAGGAAAAGGGAGTGGGAAATGGGCTACTAGATTTCTCTGTAAGGCAAATGAATGCTTTGAACAGTCCTCTTTGGGCTGTTCCACCATGACCAGTTGTGACCCTGCCCCCTCTTGCCCTTCCTTCCTTCCTTCCTTCCTTCCTTCCTTCCTTCCTTCCTTCCTTCCTTCCCTCCTTCTCCTAGGCTGTGATGTGCTTCCTGCTCTCGACGTTTGTGGCCAGCCAGGCCTTCCAATGCATGTCCTCCTCAAACTGTTGTGAAGAGACGACACTCAATGAAGTCGTGAAGAAGCTCACTGCCCATTCCTCCCAGTCCACCCAGTCCACCCAGTCTGCCCGTTCCTCCCGGTCCGTGTCTTCCTCTGACGACTGCCGCTCGATTCCTGGTGTAAAGAACAGGGCCTCCAGTTCTCCTTGGCGATATGTGTAAGAGAGAACAATCGTACCTTTTATTCCTCTGCCCCCTCATCCGTCCCATTTTCATAGAATTGTAGAGTTGGAAGGGACCCCCAGGGTCCTCTAGTCCACCCCCTCCCTGCAATGCAGGAATCTCCAAGTGTGGTCTCCCATCCAATTTGAAACCATACAGGACCCTGCTTAGCTTTCCAAATCTGCTTGCACTTTTATTGCTGCACCACCGACTGGAAATAAAGAGGCATCCCTTTGGCCCTGCCAGGCACCACCAACAGTGCCCTCTAGATTTCCCAGAGGGCTCAGCTGGTTAGAGCAGGGGGCTGAGGGGGCCGAGGTTGCAGCTTCGATCCCTGAAGGGGACAGCTGCATATTCCTGCCTCGCAGGGACTGGTTGCTCCTCAGGGTCCCTTCCAGTCAGACCAGTTTCAGGGGTGACTGGAGTTCCTTTCCAAGATATCTGGAGGGCACCGGGTTCTGGACATAGCTGTCAACTTACAGATTTGAAAATAAGGGACCAGCAGCCTTGAAAATAAGGGACCAGCAGCCAAAATAAGGGACCAGCAGCCTCACCTGTTCCAGGCACTCCAGTCTTCCTGTCCTCCTGCAGTCTGGTCAAACTCATGCTGGTCGCTTCGAGAACACTGTCCAACCAACTTTGTAACCAGAGGTTCAATTGAATAGAATCTGAATCACATGCACCGCAAGGCCTATGCAGCCTCAACTTAAGATGGCTCCCCGGCCTGGCTTTGCACTGCAAAGTTTGGAGCAGCACGTGCAACAAAATGGCGTCCAGCATTCAAAACCCCCCTCAGCTTGCATTAACTAGCCACACACAAGGCATGCAAGCTCCAAGTTCTTAGACTTCTTATTGGGTCAGCAACACAGCCAAGCAACACAGTTGGAGCCTCCCTGGCCGGCAGGGAGGGAGAGAGAGGAGCTGCTTCCTTTTAAATTTAAGGGACATCATTTAAGGGACATTTAAGGGACATCCATCAATAAGGGAAAGCAGCGGGACATGGCGCTGGAATAAGGGACTGTCCCTTCAAATAAGGGACACTTGACAGCTATGGTTCTGGAAGGCTAATCTAACCCAGCATTAGTCCCCCAAAGCTCCTCATCCCACTATATTTTATATTTTATATTTTATATTTTTATTTCTCCTTTGCTCCGCAACCAGCATCCCTGTGCATTCCCCCATCAGACCACCATCCAATCCTAAAAGGTCAAAAACAGACCTGTCCTTTCTCTTGCTCCCCCAGGGAAGACACTGAGGACTCCCGCTACCCTCGACTCCTCTGGAAAGCCCAGTGTATCTGCCAAGATTCCTGCGTCTCCTTGAGGCACCCTGTGGAAAATGCCACCGAAAAGACCTTCGTCCAGAAGGAGGGAAACGGGAAGTCCGTCCCAATCTTTGCTGACATGACCGTCTACTATCGGAGGCCTTGTGCAAATGTCAACAAGTCCTTCTACCTTGAGCGGCAGAAATATCCTTTGCCCGTGGCCTGCACCTGTGTAGCCACACAGTGAGGCTTCAAAGCGGGAAGGGGATCCCCAGAGCAAAACCGTGGATGGGATTCAGAGGGAGGGAGCCTCTGAACACGTGCAGAGTTCATTTCCCTCACAGGCTGCCACCCGCACGTCCACCCACAGGACCTGGGTACACCAGAACCTCGCTGTCTCTTTGCTCATTTCTAACTTCAGAATTAATTGCTGTGAAAAGGAAAAGCTCCCTCAACTGATCAGTTGAACTCGGATTCAAATCTTCCCCCAAAGGTCACTGAGGAGCAGCTGGAACAGCATAAATAATGAACAGGGATCGGGGATGGCGTTTCTTGCGCTGTTGTGGAATCCCAGCCCCCTCTGGGCCCTTTGGGGGGCTGTCAGGACAGCGTATCCTAGAGATGGTTGGGCTTTGTAGTGTAGGCCATGCAGGGAGAAAGCAAAAGGGCTTGCTCTAACACACTCAGATATATCATTTGGGGGCTATTGAATTCTATTGCAGATAAATCCGGATTAAGTAAATCCTTCTCTCTCTCTTACTGCAGTTTGCCCACTCTGCCAAAAGTCGGGAGTCAACTTTTTCTCCTGCAAACGCTCCTCTGCCTTCTAACGTGTGCTTAGCTGCGAATTTTCTGTTAGAAGTAGAGGAGCATTCGCAAGAAAAAAAGTTGGCCACCCACCAAATATCGCTACATCTGGCCAGATACTTCTAAAGACATAGGCGCTGAGTCCACAGAAAAAGCTGGCAACTCTAAGTGACATTAGAGAATAAAGTTAGCGAGAGGAAAAGGAAACGGCGACGGGGGAAATGTTCACGCATGAATTGTGGCAGGAGCAACTTGTTACAGAAGAATATTCCCTGATAAGCCTTGCCATCCCCTATCCTGGCTTGTACGTGTGACCCTCTGCTCATCCCTATAGCTAGCAATGCCCACATTTATAGGCCAGGATCATTTCTCAACTATTTGTACACTTGCACTAAAATCCGCTGACCATCTTGCCCTATTTTTTTAAAAAAAATTCAATAAAACATTCTAACAACAGCAGAATGTGTCTTGCCTTTTTAATCGAGAGAAAACAGGACTCCTCCTCTCTTTACAGGCGGTTGGGCTAGATGATCCACTGGGTCCCTTCCAACTCAGCCCTTCTACGATTCTGTGATTCCCTGCGGCTGATACATCCATGGCCCCCACCCCTCTGCTGCTGTCTCTCCCTTTCCATGAGAGTCCCAGACTTATCCTGAGGAATATATTTTCCTCTCCCTCCGCTTTCCTCTCTCGCCAAAGTGTGCTGACTGCTCCTGCCTTAGATTTTGTGCATGATTCCCGAATGACGCTGTTACACTACTTTTCCTTTGGGAATATACTTAAGGCTTAATGGAGCCACACTGCTACCTGCAACGATGATGTCATGGTGCCTGCCGCGTGATGTCATCATACTGGCCACCACCCAAGAGCACAGAAAACCAGCTTGTGCCATGAATTTGCCACGTTTCAATGTCATTCAGCTTCGTTTGGGGCAAGAATCTGGTGCAGGGAGCAGCTGTCGAACAGACAGAGATGTCACAGGTGATGCAAGACAGTACACAGGAAAGAGAACGCACCACCTGTTGCATTTCCTCCTGCTGCACACAAGATCCAGGCTCAGAAGTCCAGCCAGGGCGGCGGGAGATGGTATCCCACTCTCTAACCACTGGGCAATGCTACCTCCAAGGTCTGTGTGGCTTATCTGAGATGAGAGAGATGGTAAGCTGGATATTACAGACACCAAACTCCCCCATATTAGTGCCAACATTTTCCAGCCAGGGAAAGGTGTGGGAACCTTCCTGGGACTTCCTCCCTTTGTGTGTGAGTTGTAGCTACACAGTGATAGGTGTGGTGGCACTCTGCACATGCTCAAAGAGTCCTTGCCTGTGTTGGTTACTGTACATATTATTGGATGGAACTTTGACTTCCGGGATTGAGATTTTGGAAGGTGGAATCAGAGGCTGCTTGGCCTAGGGAAAAGGAGAGCTCACTATCCCCCAGTGCCCCATAATTCACATCCATAGCATTCCCGTTCTTGGGATTCCCACTCTGTTTACTTTGCCATGGTTACCCAGCGTATTATCGCAGGTATTTTCCTGCCCGTCTAAACCGCGGAGTGAGATGCAAATCTCCTGCAGTAGCCATGGAAAGCCGGCTGGGATTTCCTTCCGAAACAAAGTGACACGGGTGTCCCTGGGAGACAGGAGAAAAACCTCTGGCAAGTGGGGGGGGGAGGGGCTGTGCCCCACCTGCCCCACCCAGGAACACCTCCATCACACATCAGAGCGAAGGGAATCCTGGAAATAGAAAACAGTGACCATAAGGACAGAAGAAGACTCTGTCTCTCTAAATGTCTCTCCTGTTATTTGTATTTTTATAAATGTCTGTCACTCTGACCACATTGCCTGCCTGTCTGCCAGAATCAGATCCAGGGGGTGGGTTTGGGACAGAGCAGGCGAGTTCGGGGAAGCCTGGAAGATCAGGAATGGGAGTTCTCTGCCAGAACCAGGTGGAGTGTGGACTCTGGACCGAGCACGTGGATGGGGGGGGGGCAGCTGGGCTCCTGAGCTCACCATCTAGATATTTCCAAATTCTGTGGGATCTCACTGCTGTGGTTGGGGGGATGCCTGCCCATGATTTGTGACTTGTATCAATATATTGAATATATTTTTGAGCTTTCGGGAGTAAAAAAAGTGGCCTAAAATGCAGTCAAAACAAAATAAAAAAATTCCTTCCAGTAGCACCTTAAAAGGTAAAGGGACTCCTGACCATTAGGTCCAGTCGTGGCCAACTCTGGGGTTGCGGCGCTCATCTCACTTTATTGGCCAAGGGAGCCGGCGTACAGCTTCCGGGTCACGTGGCCAGAATGACTAAGCCGCTTCTGGTGAACCAGAGCAGCGCACGTGTTATGTACTGAGTTGAATAGGATCCAAACTGCAGCAGTCTGATTGGTCCTAGAACAATAGGATTCAGAATGCAGCAGTCTGATTGGTCCTAGAACAATGCAGCAGTATGATTGGTTGGCAGGAACCACCCAATCAGGCTCCAGATAGAAGTGAATCCACAACCTGATTGGCTTACAGTAGAATTCCGGAATTAGCCAATCATGTGCAGCCCATTGTGTAAATAATGTATATAAAGCAGATACTTTGAGGGGACATTCATTCATTCCTCCTCACCACTATGAGCTGAATAAAGAGCATGAAATCACTTTGCGACTCTGAGTATATTTCAGCACGGAAACACCGTTTACCTTCCCGCCGGAGCGGTACCTATTTATCTGCTTGCACTTTGATGTGCTTTCGAACTGCTAGGTTGGCAGGAGCAGGGACCGAGCAATGGGAGCTCATCCCATCGCGGGGATTTGAACCACTGACCTTCTGATCGGCAAGTCCTAGGCTCTGTGGTTTAACCCACAGCGCCACCCGCGTCCCAAGTAGCACCTTAGAGACCAACTAAGTTTGTTCTTCGTATGAGCTTTCGTGTGCATGCACACTTCTTCATATACACTGAAATAGAAGCCACCAGACCCTTATATATACTGAGAAGCTGGGGAGGGGTATTATTCAGAAGGGTGGTGGGAATGGGTGATTGGCTGATAGGTGTGGTAAACCTGTTGACGACTGTTAAGGACTGCAATTGGTCTTACAGGAGAAAGCAAAGGGTGAGATGGCTAAAAATAGCTTATCATGTATAAGAATCCAATGTCTCTACAGTGGTACCTCAGGTTAAGTACTTAATTCATTCCGGAGGTCTGTACTTAACCTGAAACTGTTCTTAACCTGAAGCACCACTTTAGCTAATGGGGTCTCCTGCTGCTGCCACGCCGCCGGAGCATGATTTCTGTTCTCATCCTGAAGCAAAGTTCTTAACCCGAGGTACTATTTCTGGCTTAGCGGAGTCTGTAACCTGAAGCATATGTAACCTGAAGCGTATGTAACCCGAGGTACCACTGTATTCTAATCATCCATTCCCACCACCCTTCTGAGTAATAACTCTCCTCACTTTCTCACTATATATAAAGGTCTGGTGACTTCTGTTTCAGTGTATCTGAAGAAGTGTGCATGCACACGAAAGCTTATACCAATAACAAACTTAGTTGGTCTCTAAGGTGTTACTGGAAGGATTTTTTTTATTCTCTTTTGACTATGGCAGACCAACACAGCTACCTACCTGTAACTAAAAATGCAGTTTATCAACAAATAAACAAACAAACAACACTTATAATCATCTTTGGTACCTTTGAGGCAACCCACTGCCATTAGTATTCCATTATTATTTATTACATTTTTATCCTGCTCTTCCTTTCAAAGGAGTGCAGAGCAGCCGACACACAAAGCGATTACAACATCTAAAAGTGATTCCAAGACAGATGCAAACTTGGGAAAGGTTGGTAATAAAAAGGATGGTTAGGAGCTCAAATCTAAACCGGATAAGCATAGAGGCCATGTGAGGAAGAGCAAGGGTCTCAAGCATAGCCAAGAATGCCTGGCTGCCCTTGAGAGTGAGTGATCATTGTGTGTTTATCTCACAGGCACTGTAGCTCCCTAGAGAAATGTCTCCAGACTGGATCTCATGCAAATCTAGTCTCTTTTGAACTCACTGTTTACAATTCTGGCCCCCACCCCCTCCCGTCGGTGTGCATGCGCTCACGTGTTTGCGTGTGCCAGTCGAGGATAACAGTTCACATTGTGGGCTTCAGTCTGTGAAACAGGGCCGGCCCTGCCGTTTGGCAAGAGGGTCGGGTGGGGAACGGGCCGTAGCTCAGGGGCGTGGCATCTGCTCTGCAGACAGAAGGTCCCAGGTTCAGTCCCTGGGATCTCAAGGCAGGGGCCTGGATCCTTGGAAAGCGTAGGCAATACTGTGCTAAATGGACGAATGGGTTGACTCACAAGAAGGCTCCTGTGTACGGAGTGAATGGGCTGCCTCAGGCAGCAGGTTCTGAGGAGCGGTGGATAGTGGTGTGGGCCACATGGCCTGGCCTGGCCTGGCCTGCCTTCC